ACCGGACTCAAAACATTAACTCTTTCTCCACAGATGCTGATGTTTTGAGTCCGGTATGACTCTTTCCAGAGTTCTGAACAAGATTCACTGGATTAACTCTGTTTCTCTCTCCACAGATGCTGCCAAACCTGCTGAGTTTCTCCAGCCATCTCTGCTTGTGTTTCTGATTTTCAGCGCTCCACAGTTCTTGGTTTCTTTTCTCTCCCGTAGTGTATGGGTCAGGCTGGGAGTAACACGGGTGTGTTGGAGGCTGCAATTTCTAACCTGGCCTCTGCTTCCACCATTTCCTGTAGCAGTGAGTTCCACACCCTCGCCACTCTGTGCTCACCTCGATGGGGATAGTGTTCATTTTACCCACTCAGCGGTATTTCCAGTAAAGCTCTGTCATCATCGTCCTGACTGTAGAAGTATAGTCAGTGTAACGTTTGACCATTGTTGACCGGCTGGCATGGCATCACTGAGATTTTCACTCGGACTGTGATAACTCTGAACTGCGCCAAGTTTAGATCGCATTCTTGCAGTAGTGCTTACTGCCTCATGATGTTGAGGTGTGTGTGCCTGAGATCATTGCTTAAAGAATCCAGTCTAAAAACCCTGAAATAACATCTGTGTGTTACCAATGAGACATTGAGTCCCTGTTTGTCATGTCAAGTGGGGGGAAAATATCCTACCGCACTATTTTGAAGGAATAGAGAACATAGAATAGTACAGTACAGGCCCTTCGGCCCACAATGTTGTGCTGACCTATTATCCTACTGTAAGATCAAACTACCCTGCATACCCTACATTTTACTATCCTCCATGTGCCTATCCAAGAGTTGCTTAAATGTCCCTAATGTATCTGACTCCACTACCACCGCTGGCAGCACATTCCACACGCCCACCACTGTGTGAAGAACCTACCTCTGACATCTCCCCTATACCTTCCTCCAATCACCTTAAAACTATGCCCTCTTGTATTAGTCATTTCCGCCCTGGGAAAAAGTCTCTGGCTATCCATTCTATCTATGCCTATCATCATCTTGTACACGTCTATCAAGTCACCACTCATCCTTTTTCACTCCAATGAAAAAGGCCCTAGCTCCCTCAACCTTTCCTCATAAGACCTGCCCTCCAGTCCAGGCAGCATCCTGGTAAATCTCCTCTGCACCCTCTCTAAAGCTTCCACATCCTTCCTATAATGAGGTGACCAGAACTGAACATAATATTCCAAGTGTGGTCTAACCAGAGTTTTATAGAGCTGCAGCATAACCTCGCGGCTCCTAAACTCAATTCCCCTGCCTTCTTTACAACCCTATCAACTTGGGTAGCAACTTTGAGGGATCTATGGACGTGGACCCCAAGATCCCTCTGTTCCTCCACACTGCCGAGAATCCTGCCATTAACCCTGTATTCTGCATTCAAATTCGATCTTCCAAAATGAATCACTTCACATTTTTCCGGGTTGAATTCCATCTGCCACTACTTTGCCCAGCTCTGCATCCTGTCAATGTCCCTTTGCAACCTACAACAGCCCTCCACACTATCCACAACTCCACCAACCTCCGTGTCATTGGCAAATGTACTAATTCACCCTTCCACTTCCTCATCCATGTCATTTATAAAGATCAGAAAGAGCAGAGGTTCCCTGCAAAACACCACTGGTCACCGAGCTCCAAGCTGAATACTTTCCATCTACTACCACCCTTTGTCTTCTATTGGACAGCCAATTCTGTATCCAGACAGCCAAATTTCCCTGGATCCCATGCCTCCTTATCAAATGCCTTGTTAAAATCCATATTCACCACATCCACAGCTCAACCTTCATCAATGTGTTTTGTCACATCCTCAAAAAAGTTCGGTAAGGGTTGTGAGACATGACCTGCCCCTCACAAAGCCATGCTGACTATTTCTAACCAAACTCTGCTTTTCCAAATAATCATAAATAGTATCTCTCAGAATCCTCTCCAATAGTTTGCCCACTACAGAAGTAAGGCTGATTGGTCTGTAATTTCCAGGATTATCCCTATTCCCTTTCTTGAGAAAGGGAATAACATTTGCCACGCTCCAATCATCTGGTACTACTGCAGTGGATAGTGAGGACATAAAGATCATCGCCAAAGGGGCAGCAATCTCTTCCCTCACTTCCTGTAGTAACCTTGGGCATATCCCACCTGGCCTAGGGGACTTATCTATCCTCGTGTTTTTCAAAATTTCTAGCGTGTTCCTCCTTCCTAACATCAACCTGTTCGAGCATATCAGCCTGTTTCACACTGTACTCACAAACGTCAAGGTCCCTCTCACTGATGAATATTGAAGCAAAGTATTCATTAAGGACCTCCCCTACCACCTCTGACTCTGTGCACAAGTTCCTTCCACTATCCCTGATTGGCCCTACCCTCACTCTGGCCATCCCCTTGTTCCTCACAGAAGTATAGAAAGCTTTGGGGTTTTCCTTGATCCTACCCACCAAGGTTTTCTCATAACCCCTTCTAGCTCTCCTAAGTCCATTCTTCAACTCCTTTCTGGCTACCTTGTAGACCTCTAGAGCCCTGTCCGATCCTTGCTTCCTCAACCTTAAGTAAGCTTGCTTCTACCTCTTGACTAGGTGTTCAACATGTCTTGTCATCCAAGGTTCCTTCACCTTACCATCCTTTCCTTGCCTCAGTGGGACAAACCTATCCAGTACCTGTAGCAAGTGCTCCCTAAACAACCTCTACATTTCTATCGTGCATTTCCCTGAGAACATCTGATCCGAATTGGTGCTCTGTAGTTCTTGCCTAATAACGTTGTAATTCCCCCTCCCCCAATTAAATACTTTCCCATACCGTCTGCTCCTATCCCTCTCCATGACTATAGTAAAAGTCAGGGAGTTGTGATTACTATCACCAAAATGCTGTACCACCAAGACATTTGACACTTGGCCTGGTTTGTTGCCAAGCACTAAATCCAATATGGTCTCCCCTCTAGTCAGCCTATCGACATATTGAGTTAGGAATCCTTCCTGGACACACCTGACAAAATCTGCTCCATCCAAACTATTTGCACTTAGGAGGTTCCAGTCGATATTAGGGAAGTTGAAGTCGCCCCTGACAACAACCCTATTACTTCTGCACCTTTCCAAAATCCGTCTCCAAATCTGTTTCTTGGTGTATCTGTTGCTACTGTGGGGTCTATAGAAAACTCCCAATAAAGTGACTGCTCCTTTCCTGTTTCTGACTTCCACGCATACTGACTCAGTGGAGAAACCCTCCTCCACAACCTCCCTTCTGCAGCTGTGATAGCAATGCCATTCCCCCACCTTTTTTACCCCCTCCCCATTTCTTTTGAAACATCAAAACACCGGAACATCCAACAACCATTCCTGCCCCTGTGTTATCCAAGTCTCCGTAATAGCCACAACATCGTAGTTCCAAGTACTGATCCATGCTCTTAAGTTGGTCAACCTTCTTCCTGACACTACTTGCGTTAAATAGACACACTTCAACCCGTCGCACTGACTGCAACTTTGCCCTATCAACTGTCTACCCTTCCTCACAGACTCTCTGCATACTGTATCTGCCTGTACACCAGCTACCCCATCCTCTGATCCATGGCTCCAGTTCCCATCCCCCTGCCAAACTATTTAAAACCTCCCGAACAGCTCTAGCAAACTTCCCGCCCAGGATATTGGTGCCCTTCCAATTCGGGTGCAACCTGTCCCTCTTGTACAGGTACCACCTTCCCCAGAAGGTATTCCAATGATCCACATATCTGAAGCCCTCCTTCCTACACCAGCTCTGTAACCACATGTTCAGCTGCTCTCGCTCTCTATTCCTAGCCTCATTAGCCTGTGGCACCGTTAGTAAACCTGCTCCTCCTGGCTTTCAGCTTCCAACCTAACTCCCTATATTCACCTTTCAGGTCCTCATCCCTTTTCCTAGTTATGTCATTGTAACCGATGTGTACCATGACTTCTGGCTGCTCACTGTCTCCCTTAAGAATCCTGTGGACTCGATTCGAGAAATCCCTGACCCTGGCACCCGGGAGGCAACATACCATCCGGGAGTCTCACTCGGTATCACAGAATCTCCTGCCTGTTCCCCTAACCATTGAATCTCCTATCACTATCGCTCTCCTACTCTCCCTCAGTCCTTTCTGAGCCACAGAGCCAGGCTTAGTGCCACAGACCTGGCTGCTATGGCTTTCCCCTGATAGGTTATCCTTCCCCCCCCCCCCAACAATATCCAAGACGGTATACTTATTATTGAGGGGAATGGCCACAGGGGATCCCTGCATTATCTGCCTATTCCCTTTTCCTCTCCTGACGGTCACCCAGCTCCTTTATCCTGTAACTTGGGTGTGACAACCTCCCTATAATTCCTATCACCCCCTCAGCCACCTGAATGATCCGGAGTTCATCCAGCTCCAGCTCCAGTTCCCTCATGCGGTCTGTGAGGAGCTGGAGTTGGGTCCACTTCTCACAGGTGAAGTCAGAAGGGACAGTAGTAAGTGACCTTTACCTCCCACATCCTACAAGAGGAGCATACAATAGCCTTAGCTTCCATCCCCTCTACTCTAGATTGCCAAAAGAGAAAGGAAAAAAAAAGCTTACCTTACTGACTGTCCACACAGTCTCTTTCTTTTGGTTAGAGGAGGAGGATGGGTGGGAGACACTACACGTGTAGTATTTCGGGTTTAGCCAATGCCCAAATATATTAGTTCACTTACCTGGCAGCCTCCCCAGCTCCTGCTCTCACCACTCCCACTGCTGAATTAGAGACTGCTGTCTCATGAGGGGAGTGTTTTTATAGGGAAACCTCCAGGAGATCTCCTCTGGCGTCCCGTTCAACCATTTATCTCTCAACACCACATTGCACAAAGCAGATTATTTAGTCATTGCCATTAGTGAGAACTTGCTGTGAATAAATTGGCAAATACATTACATTTCCTCTGTCTGTTATAGGAAGGATATTATTAAACTGGAGAGAGTTCAGAAGAGATTTATCAGGATGTTGCCGGGAATGGGGGATTTGAGTTATAAGGAGAGGTTGGATAGGCTGGGACTTTTTTCACTGCAGCATAGGCAGTTAAGCAGTGACCTTTTGAGGGTTATAAAATCATGAGGGATATAGATAAAGTGAATGGCAGGTGCCCTTTCCCTAGGGTGGGGGAGTTCAAGACTAGGGGGCATATTTTTAAGGTGAGAGAAGAAAAATTTTAAAAAAAGATGTGAAGGGCAATATTTTTACACGGAGTTGTTCATGTGTGGAATGAACTTCCAGAGGAAGTGGTGGATGCAGGTGCAATCAAAAAATTTAAAAGACATTGAAACAAGTACATGAATAGGAAAGGTTTGGTGGGATATGGGCCAAGTACAGGCA